AGATCCGCCCTAAATATGGCAACAGTATTCCATACAAGGCTGGATTTGAGATTTATAGAGATAGAGAATGAAATCCAGAGTAAGAAAGTGACGAGCTCGATAAAGAGAAGCAACTTTAGCAGATGCTAATTTTGCAATGGATTTGATATAAGGTTTCCAAGTAAGATCAGAAGTAAGAGTTAATTCTAGAAGATGAAGGGTAGGAGACTCATCGAGTACATTACCCTTCATAAATATAGGAAGGTCTAAACTATTGCAATAACGATTGGCCGAAAAAAATTGAGTTTTATCTGAATTAAAGTTCACCAGCCACTGTGAGCCCCATGCTGTAGCAGAAGTGAGATCCTTTTCAAGCTCAGATGCCCCCTGCAAGCAATCAGAGGGAGTTGGCTTCTTATCGTGACAAGAATAAATGGTAGTATCATCAGCAAATAATGCCACCAAGATCGTTAATGTAAATAAAAAGAGTATAGGGCCAAGGATTGAACCTTGAGAAACCTCTGAGGTTACAGAATAAGAAGAAGAGTGCTGTCCATCAAGGACAACTTTTATACTACGATTGGAAAGGAAGGATTCAATAATCTTAAAGATGTTTCCAGATACACCATAAGAAGAAAGCTTATGGAGAAAACCAGCATGCCAAACTTTATCAAACGCTTTAGAAATGTCAAGAGCAATGGTTTTAACCTCTCCACCTTTATCTAATGCGCGATAAAATCTATCGGTTATTACTGATAGCAAATCAGCCGTAGAACGAGAAGGTCTAAATCCATAATGATGATCAGAAAGTAGGTTATGAGATTCGAGATGAGAGATAAAGTGTTTGTCAATTAAAGATTCAAAAACCTTGCTTATGATAGGAAGAAGACTAATGGGACGGTAGTTAGACGAATCAGATCGCTCACCAGAATTTTTAAAAATAGGGATAACAGATGCTGCTTTCCAGCTGGCTGGAAAACAAGACTCTGATAAGCACTTGTTAAACAGTTTTGAAAGGATAGACGACAGCTCCGGAGAACACTTCTGCAAGACTATAACAGGTATGTTGTCCGGGCCACAAGCTGTAGAAGAGTCTAAGTGGGAAATCACTTTAGATACAGAAGCTGGAGTGATACGGATGTCGAGCAGTGGATCAACCTGTTTAACGACTATATCAGGTAAAACGCAACTAGTGGAATCAAGAGATGATATTGATGAAAAGTTCTTGGCAAACAATTCAACTTTGTCTTTAGGTGAGGTGACAAAGTCTGAACTGTACAAAAAAGGTGGAATTACAGACTTGCCCTTATTATTGATACTATTAAAGATTCTCCAGAAGTATTAAAGAAGAAGAAGAAGGCTCTCCATGAGAGCCTAATTTTTGTGATGAAATAGAGATTTCATGATCTGAAAATAGCGGGCTTTGGCGTTAGACAAAACATTTTTACAATGGTTCCTAGCAGTAATAAACAGACGTCTGTTTTCTGGAGAATTGTTTTGCTGATAGATATGGAAGTAATGGTTTCGATTGGCAATTGCAGCAGCACAATGTGAGGAAAACCATGGAGAAGAGTGAGGCTTGACCTGGAATTGTCGAGAGGGAATAAAGGATTCCATGCCAGCCTGAATCCAAGAAGTTATGTAAGAAGCACATTTGTCAACAGGAAGACGAAAGATTTCTACCCAGGGGCCATCATGAAGAAAATCACGGAAAGAGTCCCAGTCAGCTTTAAGGTAGTTGTAAGATGTACGATGATAGGGGGATTCTGATGGTAAAGAAACTGAGCACTGACTAGGATCAGAAACAAGACATAAGTCTAGTAGAGAAGGTAAATGATTCGGGTTGTCTGGAAAGCGAGTTGGAAAGTTGACTATTTGAGTTAGGGATTGAGGAAGGCAAAAGTTGTGGGCCTTAATGCCTGCGGAGTCACTGACACTAGAGCCAAGCCATTCAGTGTGATGAACATTAAAGTCACCAACAACAAGAATATTGGCTGATGGATAAAGAATGAAGACTTGGTCAATATAATCAGAAATAACATCAAGAAGAGTGCAGTCTTGAGATGAAGGACAGCGATATAGAACAAAGAGAAAGGTGATAGAGTGAAGTGGTGCTAAACGAAAGCACATAAAAGAGTAGTCTGTGGATTCAAACCTAGTTACCCGACAAATGGGTGAATTCTTACGAATGTAAATGCCCAGGCCAAGCATGTGACTATTGGAGTCTTTACGAATTAAAGGAAGATAACCATCAACACTAAGATCACAAGATGAAACAGCTGAACTCAAATTACTCTCACAAAGAGCAAGTAGGTCTGGTGAACTTTGCAAGAGGTAAGACTCAATAGAAGAAAAGTTACTTCGAAGACCACGAATATTGGTGAATGATAGGTTTAGTAAACTTGGTGATGACTGTGGTTTTTTGTGTTTTATAGTTTTTGTTACTTAATTCATTTTTAGATTTGTTAAAGAACTTGACTTGATACATAGATAGTACTCAGTACACTGTTTCATAGCTCAAGCAGTTGCCTCATTTCCACTAATAAACCCTAAGCTGTAACAAAGGGCTCCAATGTAGCCTTGGCAATGCACACCAAAAGTACAAACAGGGACACCATCCATGCGCAACATGGCACTGTTAGTACTCTGATATTTTTCAGCTGTTGATGGAATCAGCCTCTCTGAGAGCTACCACAGAGTTCGGGAAACCGACTACCAGCCGGCCTTAGAACTATAAAAGCTTTTAGAGCTGTACCCTCATTTGGAGATAATACAATGAGTTGCCTAGCTTAAAAACAGAGACACAAGCAAAACCCATGAATCGAGTCAAGAAGATCCAGCGTTCAACATCCTAAACTGGAAACAATATATTAAAAATACATCTGCGCCAGCCTAATAGATGAGGAAGGGGTGCGAGGCTGGTTAACAGATAGAATCTGTTTACCCCTTAAGTCTTTGCCTAGGTGGCCTTCTACAAGACAGCAGCTGGATGCATGTAACATCTGCCCAAGATGAGTATTTTTATCGAGACACTATCTCTAGCCTTTACTCAACCAAGAGCCCCAAGGCAGGGGATGTTTTATGTCGGAGTTTGCATCTCCTAGCCTTTGCCTAAAAAGGCGTATCCTACAAGGCAGCAGGACATGAAGCAGATTGTACTGGGTTAAATGTTACCAGTAGCAGGATAAACCTGACCTGACGTCAGTAGCAGGATAAACCTGACCTGACATCAATTTAACTGAATGACCTGTCATGAATATAACTGAAAGCCGAATTTCTATTTCAACTTTGGCACCGACGTGGAAGCCGAAGTCAACTTCACCTTTCAGTAAACTTCGCCTTTTAGTAAACTTCGTAATCTGAATTTTAACTAATATTCGCCGGTCCTTATTTTGGCCATCTTTCCCTAATTTTTTAAAGTTACAAAAATACAAATCTTTCCATAATCTTTGTGCATATGATGCAATGTTTTTATTGCTTTATTGTTTTAATGGTAAAAGTTAAAGGCTTTCAGCAATGATTAGTCATTTTTTTAGGTCTCAATGAGGCTGAATAACAGTTTTAATATCATTGAACATCATATTTTCTTATTCTTCTGAATATACCATAAGGAAAATCTTTTTTATTGCTTCAATACTTTTGTCAGAAATAAATCAGTATATCGTGACTACTGTTTACCTCATCTTTGGTTGTGCAGTAGCTGAAAAATATCTAATCAAGGCTTCTGCTTTTTCTAGATCATCAGAAGTCAAACTAGATCCTACTTGTAGTGCCATTTTTGTATTGTTAACAAAATAACAACAAATAGAAATACGACAATATATAAAATGTAAGCCATGTTAAAAACATGTATTTTATATATAAATTGGCTCCTATATAAAAATATTGTTACTCTTTGTCGGTAAACAGTAACAGTTTCATTTAATGCAGTTTTCAGCAGGCTATTTTAGTGTGACATCAGAGACTAAACACACATTTATAGTTGTATATATATATATATATATATATATATATATATATATATATATATATATTATATATATATATATATATATATATATATATATATATATATATATATATATATATATATATATATATATATATATATATATATATATATATATATATATATATATATATATATATATATATATGCACTTGCATGGTTAGTTAGTTAAATAACCTACACAAAGCCATACCCTTGTTAAACTCATCATTAGCTGAGTATTCACATCTATACCTAACTCGTATGTCAGCCACTTTTGTGTGGCATTTATGGTAAATGACGAGCAGTAGTAACTGCAATGATTAAAAATCATTGCAGTAGTATAGATATTATGATAAAGTATATATGAATATTATATATAGTTTTTTTTTATTTAAATAATTGTTTTTATTTATTATAAATGATAAATGCTAATCTTTAAAAACAAAATTAAAAAATGATTTTAAAAATAGTCAAACTATCTTTTTTTTAATGCATAATTATTTACAAGCGCTTTTATATGGAAACTATTTTCCAGTTATTAAAAAAAATACTATTATTTAAATTAAGTGTAAATATTTATTAAACAATCATTAAAAGTAAATTATTTCCTTTATTTTAAGGTTTATAAGAGGTTAAAAATTCTGGTCAAATTGTCAAAACAAAATATTATTTAGATAGTCATACCATGGCGTGCAATCGCCTTCCTTACCTGATTATTTGCATATAGTCATTGATTATTATAGTCTTGCTAATTTGCATAGTCATATAATGGCTTGTACGTCTTCCTGACCTGCCTAACCAAACCTTACACCAGCATATTACACATATGTTAAACCAACATGTACTATGCTGTCTTATACAATTAAAAAAAGCTGAGAGTTGTTTGGCATTTCAGTAATTCTTAAGTATGCTGAATACTTTAGACATTCATTTTTTCTAAAGTAAAATCTAAATAATTTCTGATTATTTTAAATTGATTCTCATCTTTAGGTGATTTAAATTGAAATTAAATATTGTTTTTAAATTTTAG